TTTTTTTACCATAAACTAATAGGCCGAAAACTTGAATTGGCCAACGTCGAAGTAAATCGCGATTTGAAAATTCTTTTTTCCCTCGGTAATCTTGTATTTGCCGAAGAGGTGCTTGAGATGTAGTTTATTAATTGAATTTTACCTCTAAGTTTTGTAATACAGTGCTCACAGAAACAGGGTTTCCGAAAATCGCTGAGCCTTGAAAAATTGACAACGGTATTGACGCTTCACTTCATGCTTATAAGTCTAGTTGGTTGTGTATCGCACTTTTTCCCCTCCACAATGGGGAAAGGACATTTCTCGCCTCAGAGTCATTTTTTTCAAGTGTGAAATACGAATAAGAAAAACCTCTGATACTAAGCTTGGGGAAAGGTTTTCTGCAATCATTTTTCTTCTCTGGTATATTCAACATTCATTTGGCTCATTGAACAGAAGTACAGGATTACTGGTGGACATTCAACATTTAACCAATGATAGACATTTATGAAATCCTCAAATCACCCCCCCCCTCCGGATTCGCTTCAATCTTTCATTGCGTGAAGGAAAATGAGTCCTGCAAGTTGAATAATAAGTATGTGAGGGGGATTGAAATTATCAATATCATCAATAATGCATCCAAAAAATTGACAAATTCTTTCGCTGTGGTGTCACTTGCTCAGGTGCGGCTGGGCGCACCCAGTTTTTAAAATGGTATTTTCTTCATGCCTAAAGTAGAACAATTGTCCTTGAAAGTTGTTTTTTCTTCAAACCATGCCTTACATACTATTATTTATATTTCATGTTAGCCAACTTGGAACGAGTCTTGGAGGGCACGTTGGCGGAAGACGTCCTGGCCGCGTGTGACGACGGTGTAGGTACTGACGCCAGCATAGGCGGCGGTGGCAGCAGTAGCACCGGTGGCGGAGCTGAGATCGGTCTTGCGAACCCTGCAGTGCATTTTTTCCGCGGCCTGCGGCACCGGAATGTGGCGGCCATGCGCCACGCCGCCCAACGCGGTTTGGATCGGCTCCACGGACAGTCGGCCCAGGTCCAGGGCTCTGTCGACACGAACGTGATGAAGAACTGTGTTCCCTTGTCGATCCAGGGTCTCCGAACGAACCTCGGCGACTCGTTGAGTCACGTGCTGTTCTTCCATATCGAGGCTTTGATAGGTAATTTCAGAAATTCTCGTTCGATATTAAGTTCAAAAAAATATTGTAAACTGCGGGCTGCTTGAAGTGCAGCGGTACCTCAATTCCTGACTTGTCATTGAATCCTGGCAATTAAATCGAGTTAATTATAAAGTGTCTCTCCTAATTCCTTCATATCTCCATTTATACCTTGGTCTATTTTTTTAAGGGTTTGAGTTTAACGAAATTAAGGTTTTCAGAAATCATGCGAGATACAGTAATAAATTTTTTATATTTTCAAATCAAGAAATTGCTGTAAATTGATTTTTAATGTAAAAAGTGGCTAAAATGTGTGTTCATTTGGCGTATTGAAGATCGAAGTACAATTCGATCCGAACTACGGTTATATTGAGATTCATTCAAGGATGAGCAATTCTTAGTGCAGGTCTTTTGCCAAAATCATGAGTTCAGGATTCGAGGTAGTGCTGTAGCATAAATCGAATGCATTTTTTTCTTGTCTCGCTCTGGCTCCGGGGCTTGCCTAATTTTTAGCATGTTTACAGGGAAAATGTTGAACTAACCTTTCGTGATACAGTATTTATTGGAAATTCAAATCTGGTTTTCCAACTATCGTTGAAAAAAATTTATTCAAAATTCATTTTCGGCTCTCGAATTGAATGAATAAATAAGAATGAACTGATGATCCAAGTGGAGACAGCCGCGAAAATCGAATTTCCCTTCTTTCAAAAATTTGTTGGTACTTATTCTGGGATTTTGTGCGACTCTCGTTTTTAAGTCGTCTAACCTAACCCCAAGAAAACGCATTGATGATCTTTTTGTCTTTCGTCTTTCTCATGTGTTCGATTGTGAATTCGTTCATTTCTTCTTCACGTTTCTCGTTTCATCTGAGGTGATGTGGATCATTTCTAAGATGACATTTCCTCGTTTTCCCGCATGGGTTTGGTTTAACGAACTATAAAAAAAAAGTGAGCTTGATGAGCGAAGAATACGACAAGATTTCGCCGGCCACGCTGGAGTCGCAGGGTCTTATCCTGCGCAACGAATACCTGGCCCTGGATAACCTCACGGTGTCCACAAACCTGGACACGCAATTGAAACTTGCAGGTACATCGGCTTTCAAAAATCAGCGAAAAAAAAGAGAAAAAATTTGGAAGCGAAAAGAAATGCGAAGGCTTTTTGCTTGACACTGTGTCGCTTGTTTGCCAATTGCTGCCTTTCGGGACGATGATTAAGATTTTCTGGGGAAGGTGAAAGACACCGCCGAGAACATGGAGAAGAAGTTGAAAGAGAAGGAGATGAAGCCTGGTGCTAAGGATTTTCAAGGTATCCCGTCAGAGTACCGTCAATATGCAGAATTTATTTTTTTTTTCCTTGAGTTCAGCATGTTTCATGGTAGTTTTTCAATCCGGATACGTTTCAGAAACGCATTCGATTCATTTTATGACGTGCAAAAAAATACAGTAGAAAGAATTATTCGCTGACTTTGCGTTCATCGTCAAGTGATCCGCCGATGCCGCTTTCTTTGGTTGAAGGTTCTTTCGCATCTTCAGTGCTTCTCGGTGTCTTTCGGGAAATCTTCTGTACTTCATTTGTGTTCATATGTCCTTCATTTGTTCACTTCTTTCTGCTGGCTCGTGTAGACGCATGATTGGGGTTTATGTTTGAGAAATATTTTTTCATTCTTTTCAAGTGGTTTACTGCCGCTTTTTATGCTTTAAAATTTGTTTTTGAACTAAGTAAAGTGTGTAATTGCTTTGAGAAATTTTTGATGACATCAAAGGTTCAAAGCTGTTGGTAAACTATTCCTGTGGACTCTCTCTGCAAAGATCTTGTGTACAACAATTTTCTCCGTGAAGCAAATTTTCATTTTGGGCCATAGGGTTCTCTCCTCATTTCATAGGGGTTCACTACAACGAAATTCTCTCCACCACGAAGTTTTTTCTGGTCCCGTGAATTTCGTTGTAGATAGAGGTCACGTGTAGTGCATTTAGAATAAGGAAGATGTCGCTACTTCAAGGTAGATCTCGTTATTGCTCCGTCGATGTCCCGATTTTGTTTCGTTTATTTTAGGAGGAACTCGAATATCGTGCATAAAATTTCACGTACAGTATATTAAATTATGAAAACCTCTTCTGAACTTGTTTTATCTGTTTTTTTTTTAAACAGCTGCCAGGTGTCGCCTTCGTCTCGAACTTGAAAGTGCACGAAAAATGGAAGTTGGCTGACCCGAACTAAGATCAAATCTAAATTCACGCTTTTGCTAAAACCTATGTTGACCTAAATCAGGCCCGCGAATTTCAATTGAAATCTGCGATGAAAAGAACATTTTAATGAGGCGAAAACAAACAACGAGTATTGCACGATAACTGTTGGGACATCCTTTGTTGAGATCATTAATAAACGTTTGATGTTGTGTTCGCTGTCTCAGGATTCCTAGTCAGGGTGAAGGAGGGTGCGGAGTCTGTGCAACAAAAGATCCAAGCCAAAGCCGAAAGCGTTGGACTTACTTCTGCACCTGCTGCCGAAAGCCCGGTTCACGGACG